ACCCCCCTCAATTCTTTTTTTTTTGTTTATATATTCAATTTCTGGTTGTTTCATTTTTCGGTTTACAGGTTCGAACATGTTCCAAAGTTATGAGTTCGGAGGTTTATGTGTTTGGATGTTTGCAAGTTTAGAAATTACAGACTTTACGGGTTTGAAAGTTTATGGTTTCAAAAGTTTAGCGGTTCGGAAGTTAAGGAATTTGTGGGTTCGGAAGGTTACTGATTCGAAAGTTTATGGGTTCTTGTTTATTGTATCTAAATTATTTATGAATACTCTTGAGAAGTTATTTTTCTTAATTTGCATACTACACACCAAAAAATGAGTAAGATTACTACTTGTTGTATTTTCTTGGAAAACATTTTCCAAGGAGAACATTTTCCGTTATACCAAACACACCCCTAAACTACATATGCCGAAGCAGTTAGTTAAGTTCCCATATCAGTTGCGTCAAATATTAAAATCAGAATAGGATTGCACTATAAATGTGAAAACCATAATAATTCTTTCGTTCCTTGCAATTTAGTCTTGAATTGATTAGTTTGTGCTCTTTTTGGCAAATCATTCAAACATATTCTTTAAGTGTAATTGAAGGAAACACACATTTTGGGTTTCAAACAATTGAGGATTCCACTGAGTTCACTACACCAAACTACCAACTCTTTTTCTCAAATCAAGTAAACCGAACTACCAACTTTTAACAGTAAAACCGATAATTTCAACGCTAGGAATGAAAATCCCACACGAAATGTATCACAATTTCTAGCAATCATCTTGTTCAACCACCCCCTCAACACACCCCACTTCAATCCATAACTATTCTATAAGAACTCTTCACAAGAATAAAACTTTTCTTTAATTAGAGAATAAGAAAGTCAAATTTATGAAATTCATTTTTTCCTGTAATTTAAATTTGAAAATATGTAATTTTAGACCACTCCCAACCAATAAGTTGGAAAACCATGTGCATTGCCATAAACTTACCCATTCTATTCTTACTTCTCCTCTTGAAAAGTCAAAGCTTCAAAAAGGGAAAAATTGATGACATAAATTTTCCTAAAAATAAGTCGTTTTTTTTATGTTTGATTGGCAGAAAATATTTTACAACGAAATATATTTTCCAAAAGCCTCACAATTATCAATCAACACGTAAGACATTATTATGAATCTCTAATACTCAATTTTTTAACTCCAAAGTTTGCTCACATTGTCAATCCCAAATGTACCCAATAGCGAATAAAGAAGGCTAAGCTCTCGCTATGCACGAGGTCGGGTTACGATAGGTTGGTATAAATATAAAACTAGTCAATATAAGAAGACTCGTCTAATACTCAAAATTTTAAATCAAAACACTACTTGATATGCTACCATTATTATCAATATTTAATAAATGTTTTTTTGGGAAAATACTTTTCATTTTCTAACCAAATACCAGAAAACATTCTCCAAAAACAAGTCATCAAACATACAAAAACCAAAAAGGAAAAGTCCAAACGAATTCAATAAAATAATAATAAAACTCACCCCGCAACCGGTATCAATGGCGGTCCTGATGGAACCATCTTTAAGATTGATCAACTTTCCGATATCATCAATATAAGCATCGGCGCCACGTGGGAACATGGTGCCGCCGCCGGGGAAGGTGAACCGGTCATCCTTAAACCGGACCCAATTCTGACCAGCTTTCTCTACCGTAAGATGTTTATGCGGAACATTGGCATACCAAACCGAGTCACGACTTTCCGGCCACCTGAACGGCTGTTTATAACCAAAAGGTGCCGGAATTCTGCACTTTAACAACTCATTCTTCTCAGGACAATGCCTTTCTCTATAAATAAGCATGTTTCTATCGAATTTCAACGACCTTTTTGAATCCTCACATGGGGTGTATTCGGACAACTCAGGGTTACAAGAAGGGAAGTGGTTTACACGCGCCGATGGTGAGAGTGGAACAAGGTCAGCGGCGGTGTGGTGGGCGGTGAAGTCGAGGGAAATCGATGAACCGTAATTGGAATTTGTGTTTTTAATTGATGGGTTGCAGGGTAGGGTGGGTAGGAGGGTGGTGGAGGATAATTGAGTGGTGTTAACACCACCTTGTGGCCAAAGTCCGATTACATAAAAGGTACAACAAAGAACAACGGTTGCAGCCACGTAGTAAAGATTAGCTTTCTTGGATTTCGATGTTAGATAATGTGACAAGTTGGTCCATATCGCCATTGCCACACCAACTCAAGAACAATAAAACAAATTAATGACAAAAAACAGAAAAGGATAAGTTGATGAACCTTGAGTCTGTATTTATCGGCTTGTCATATAATTGTTTGTTCTGGAGACAGAAACAGAGCTCTGTGTGTGTGTGTGTTTTCTGATCATGAGAGTTTTGATTTGAAGGGTGACGAATGAACTTTCTTGAGGAGGTGATGAGTTAATGAAGGAGTGAAGGTGGAGGGGGATTGGAAGACGCGCTAACGCGCCGACGCTCCCTCGTGAGTAAACTTAATTGAAGAAATGAGGGAGGGAAAATTAAGAAGACGAAAAGGCCACAAGGAAGGGGAAGTATATTTATGGATGACATCTGACTTATACAAAGGTAGGACTTATTTTAATTTTTATTTTATGTTATGAAAGGTAGGAAATTGGAGTTTCGGATCTTTCCCCTTTCTAGATACTCTATTTTCCAAATTTTCCATTTAAAGAGACTCTTTGGAAAGCCACCCGTAATTAGAATTGGTGTAATTACTAGGTAGTAATTACATAGCCTAGTAATTACACAGTTGCATAATTACGATGACTTGTTTGTTTGTCATAGTATAATTACTATATAATTACATGTTTACTGTTTGATTGCATAAGTGTAATTACACAGTTAAATTAAATTTTAAATTAAGTAACTATCAAAACTTAAAAGTTAATATAATAAATATATGCCTATAAATTTTTATAAGTATAAATGAT